CCGGCTCTGCCCCCGTCAGGCTCCGCCCCACCGCCGCAGCCAGATTAATACATTCCCATTGACGTAGTTTTGACGCCAGAGCGACGCGAGGCCGCGCGCGAGGCGGAGGGAGAACGGGAGATCGGGCCGTTGCCAAGAGACTGGCGGCTCTGACGCGCGGGATGATCAGGCCGTCGCCCTGGCGACCGCGGAATGGTGACGTCAGGGGCGCCGGCCGCCCGAGGCCCGCCGAGCCCGACTGCTTGGCCAGCTTGCTCACAGCGCGGCGCCCCCTGCCGGGAGCAGTCGACGCTACAGGAGGGTTTAACCCTGGAGTCGCTGCGCCGCTTCCAAATTCTAACGCTGGTGAACCCCTTGAGTACAACCTGTACCGCCTACTCAAGCTGGCACGCCTATGTTCTCGTTTCTGCTCCTTTTCTCCTCGCTCACTCCAAAGGGGCGTGTGAGGGCGGTTCCTAAAACTCCTCAAAGTGGAGAAACAGCCGAGGCGTGTGTAATCTTGACACCCTCTCTTAGGGTTTGTGTGACTGGCTGCCATCTGTCTTAAAATAATCGTTCTGCCCCCGGAAGTGTCAGGTTTTGGAACATCCATTAGGGGACATGGGTGGCAGAAACGGTTAAGCACTCTTAAATGCTGTACTACTAACCAAAAGGTTGGAGAGTCGGATCCATGCAGAGGCACCTTGGAAGAAAGGCCTGGTGATCTAATTTCAAAAAATCAGCCATGAAAAACCTATGGAGCACAGTTATACTCTGACACAGACGCAGTCATCACGAGTGGAGGTCAACTCCACAGATAACTAACAAGGAGTAAAACCCAAATCTACTGCCATCAAGTGGATTCTGACTCACAGAGACTGTACAGGACAGGGTAGAACTGCCCTATAGTGTTTCCAAGGCTGTAAATCTTTACACAAGCAAACTGGCTCATCTTTCTCTCCTGGAGTGGCTGGTGGGTTTGAACCACTGATGTTTTAAGGTACCAGCCAAATGCTTTAAATACTATGCCACCAGAGCTTCTTCAACAAGGGGTAGAGCTAGATAAATCTTATAGGAGTTCTTTATTCAGGGTCATAAGGGAGGGGAATGGCTGTGCCTGCCATGCTCCCAGCCCCTACCCCAGAGAAGAAATGTCGCCTGTCCGACAGGAACAGAGCATGAACCCTGTGGAAATCAATATGAAATCAATGTGTATTGAGAAATGTTGGTCTGTCAAACTTCTGTGACTTTTCTGTAAAAACCTGGAACTTCTAAGCAAGTTAGAAACATGAAACATAGCAGAAAGTGATCAGTATCTTTTGGAAAACTACCACCACACATTAGAGAGGAAGTCCCACTCCCACCCCCAGCCACTGTGATCTTGACCTGCTGGCTCTGTGATGGTTAATGTTATTTGTCAACTTGGCTAGTCTATCTATGATTCTCAGTGGTTTGGCAGACATTGGAATGATTGTTCTTCCATAATGTTGTATAATGTAATCATCCTCCATTTTGTGATCTGATGTGAGCAGCTAATCAGTTCAAGAGCCAATCAGTTGAAAGCCAGTTTCTTTGTCCTCTAGAGAACCTAGCTTTAGAAGGCCTCCAAGGATGAGATGGAGTTGTTCTCTCCAGACATAAATGTACCTCACACAAGGTGATGGTTGGGAAATCATTTTTGGAAAGTTCTTTTCTATAGTGATAAACTTCAGCTGATCTTGCCCCTTCTTCATCCCATTCTGTTGTTCCAATACCAGCTGTTGGCCTATGGAAATCTCAGCCTGTTCTTTCCAGAATCCACTGAATCTACTTTGATGAACAAACCAAGCAGGGAGAGGAGGGAGCTGAGGGGAAAAGGGAATTGTAGGAAAAGCTCAACAGACTGGTTTCTGAGAAGATGTGGTTCCTTGGTGGAAATGGATCCCATTCAGTGCTGAGGTCTTAACATTCATTTCACCAAAGTATTAGGAAATCCAGTTTCCAACACCCTCTAAAAAATGTTTGTTCACTGGCTGGTGCATTCATTGGCCAGGTGCTCTGCACTTGGGCAGTAAAAGAACCCAGCCCCTGCCAGCAAGCAGCTTCTCCCAGGAGTGCAGGCAGGTGGGCGAGGACTTCACTTCTCAACCCCTGGAAACTTGTAGCCTGCCAGTGGCATTAGAGATTTGTGACTGCAATTTTGCCCACCCTTGCTATTTCTCGAGGAGCTCAGGTGGTGTAGTGGTTAAGGCATCTGGCTACTAACCAAAAGATTGTGGTTCAAACCCACCAACTGCTCTGCAGAAGAAAGATGGGGCAGTGTGCTTCTGTAAAGATTTCCAAAACCAAACTCACTGCCATCGAGTTGATTTTGACTCATAGCGACCCCTTTTGGGTTTCCAAAGGAGCTCTGATGGCATGGTGCCTAAGGCATTTGACTGCTAACCAGAAGGTTGGTAGTTCAAACCCACCTCTGCAGAAGGAAGACTGGGCAGTCTACTTCTGTAAAGATTTACCTCCTCAGAAACCCAAAGCAGGCTGCTATAGTCAGAATCGACTCGATGGCAGTGAGTTTGGGTTTGGTTTTGCTATTTCTCCAGAGACAGCCACCCAGCAGCAGGGAGTATGGGGCTGGGAAAGATGAGAGGCTGACACCTGAGGGGTCTCTAGCGAAAGGGGGGCTAAAACCCAGTGGCATACCATTAAAGGGTGGAGACGTGAAAATGGCATCTGGGTGACTATTTCTGTTTGCATTGCCTTGTGCTCTTTTGTTGCTTTATGCCTCATCAGAAAATAAAACCTTTTCTCCTCAGAGACTATGTGCTTATGAAAATTTTTTTAACATTAGGAAGGCAGCAGTTTAGAACTTACATTCTACATCTAGCCGAGAATCATCTTTCCGCATGCTAAATAAAAGTGCTGCTTCGTAGAACGCAAGGGAGTAAGCAAAAACTACACAAAATTAATACAGAACTTTAAAAACCTTCTTGGGAGAGGCTTCCATGTGAGGCAGGCACCTGAAGACACTGCTTGCCAGGGATAGCCGCACCGAGAAGAAATTGGACACATTTCTCCTGATGCACGGGCACCATCCTGACCAAATATTTCCCAGTCACTCCCCCTGGGCGTTGTTTGTGGGTCAGTTTGTTTTCAAAGGTCCTTCAAGGACGCTAATAGCCCCAAAGTTTTCTCGAGTCTTTAAAAAGTATTCTCCTTATTTGTCCAAGGTTTATACACCCAGAGTTTGAAGGAATATTTTTAGTTCCTTCTAGCTGAATGGTTTACAATGGCTTCTCTCCTCTCTGGGAGTCTTGACACCCTGCTCTTCAGTTCCTAAAGAGAAAGACACAGAGTGAAGAGACCAGGGACACAAAGGCGCTTATATCCTGTCCCTCACCCAAGACCTAAGGTCTGTCCCCAGGAATCAAAATGCAACACCCCGGGAAGCTCCACCCCCACCCCACCCCCAGGCCCGGCCAGTCTTTCGAAAGGTCTTGGGTGTTTGCAAACACCTGGCCAGCAGCTTGGAAACATTTTGTTAGCACTAACTAAAAATCGCAACCAAAGAGCCCAAGCTGCCTTTTTGGGACCTAGAGAAGGTTGCTGGACCCAGGTGTTCTTGACCCTCCTTCAGCCCTTTTGAGCTTCCAACAGCCTTGTGTGAGCTTGTTGTTGTTGTTATGTG